AGCTTGGGAAACAAAAAATAGTCTGGGGGGGGGGGGGACAGATCAGGTGAGTACGCAGGGTGGTTGATGCTCACAACTTGCCTTTTCGTCAAGAACTCCTGTACAACAATGGACTTGAGAGCCGGTGCATTGTCGTGCAACAGCCACCACTCTCCGCTCTCCAACACTTTTGGCCTCACACTTCTTCTTCTTCCTCCGGTTATTTGGCACTTGGTCGCACTAAGCGAACCGATACGGCCATGGCTATCCAATAGGCAATAGTGTGGAGATTACAGTTGATGATATAAATCTCCTAACGTGTCACACAATGCAGAGGCCCAACTACCGAGTCTCGCGCGGGATGATGCAATCCCTATTGGATGATTCAATCCCGCAGGATCAAAAATTTTATCTTCCGTCGGAAGACGTGTGAACCGCTCAACGGCCCAGACGGGACTACTTGGCCTCACACGCCGCATTCGTTGTAAAAGTCATTCCAAAACTCACCTGATCTGTCCCCCCCAGACTATTTTTTGTTTTTCCAAGCTAAAATTGAAGATGAAGGGACATCGACATGAGTCAGTAGAGGCGATTGAAAAGGCGGTGACAAAGGAACTGAACAGTATTCCAGTGGAGGCGTTCCAGAAGGCGATGATGGACCTGAAGACTCGTTCCAAGCGTTGTATCGAATTGGCGGGAGACTATGTAGAAGCTTGATATTAAAGAGGAGTCGATACATGGCGTTGTTTGATCTGTGTGCGACCAGTCCCGGAACTTTTTGAATACACTGTGTATAAGCCAACATTAATTTCGCATTTTGCTATAATATAAGCAAACTCTTGCTGCTAAGAGTTTCTCTTTGGCAAAGTTATACAAAAATGTTCCCACTGAACCTTTCTATCATACAATTTATTGGAGAATGCACGCGACATTAGAGATAAATAAGGAATTATATAAATACAGAAACATTATTAAACTGACAGTTCACCTTAAAAAAGTGTATGCGAAAATAAGAAAAATATAGAATTAGGTAGTAAGATTCAGCTTGACCATTAAAGGCATTTGTGTTAAATATAAAAAATCCGTTTACTAGAAAGATATTTATCGTTTGAAAGGAGGTAATTTTTGGTTACAACTTTCTTCCCTCCCCCTCTCTCTCTTCTTCTGTCAGCAACATGAATGTTGGCCACACAAGTTCCTCCAAGTAAATATTATATCTGGGGGAGACGTTGACGGCAACTCGCAAGCGTCAAGAGTCCATCAAGACGTTCGACGGCAAGCCAATTCTTCAGTAGTCGCCAGTCGGTCGGTCTCGCGATCCGAGTACGCGGAGAATACAGCATTAGGTTCGCCGCGAACGTACGCACCCATACGCACCTGTCAAGTCAAGCCGGGCAGCCAGCCTCCCGTAGATCGGTTCGAGTCGTCGATCGATGGCGAGAGGGTACACAGTGCACGCGCATCGCGGGCTCATCGGTGCGTCACACGCGAGGGTGTTGTTTACACCAGCGCGCCGCTTCCACCCTCGTATGTCACACGCGGCATCGCCCCTACCGACGGCTTTCAAACTTGTTCAAACATGAACACGACCTCGACTCTCTACCGGTCGGCCGTCACAGCGTTTGAATTCGCCAAGCGCAGCGCCCATTGGTCGTGAGTCTAGGGACAATTTGACGGCGGGGCGCGAGGAGGCGATAGGAATATTTCAGGAGTGACGCGTCGGCGGGACATTCGAATGCAGAATCTGTTACGCTCTTATATCGTGTGCATATTACAATGTGTATGCAGATGTATATTATAGCATTAATATTGTTATATTTATATACAGGGTGTCCCATTTTAACTTGGACAGTAAAATATCTCGAAGACTGAGCCTAGCAGACAGCAAGAAAATACACAATTGTTAAAAAATTTTTTTTTAATATTTGTTACAAAATTGTGTGTTTTCTTTACACCGGTTGATTTGTATCATTATTCTGTTCAAAAACGTATTAAGGTAAGATGATAAAAAAATGAATATTTTACAAGATATTTTGTAATTTATGTCAAAATATTGGAACTTTCAAACCTTAATAACTCAAAAAGTTCTTAATAAAAAAATACTTTATTACAGCGTTTTGGAAAGCTCTCGAGGTCAGCTACAAGAATATGTAATAGAAAATAGGGGATGCCATTTACAAAAAAATTGGTGTGACCTTTATGTGACCTTCAAATAATTTTCAAGGTCAAACCAATGGTACCATCTTATGGCCCCCTCGAAACCAAACAACTTTTGTCTGAAACATTTTTGTCTGCTGGGCTGAGTTTTCGAGATATTTTACTGTCCAAGTTAAAATGGGACACCCTGTATAATATATTATATACATTATATCTATAATATTATATAAATATATTATAATAAAATTATATATCGTTAGTTGTTATATATTATTTATACCTAAGTATCGGATTATAAAATGTGAGTGATAAATATTTCTAACCAAGGAACTAAAAGAGTAAGTTTAATTAAAAAATTTATCGAATATTCGCATGCGTTTCTTAAGTTTCGAGATCAACAATAGTTGTTTCTTTTTTATAGTTTTGATCGTAGCAAATTTAGTTTCGATTTTGAACTTTAACATAAAATTTTTTTTATTGTGTGAATTCAATCACGATTGGTTGAGATCTAGGGAATTTTCGAATTCGCACGCGGAACTTGTATCCTTATTGTTAACTCACTGAAAATAATATTTTTAAATATCCTGATTTAGACAGGAAGTCTGTTTTGAAGCTGGAACTCTAATCAAGTCAATAACAGATACAAAGGTGTGAGCATTAAGCGAATCGACGATCACAAGACGCCATTAATTTTGCAAAAATTAATGTATTTATGCGATATGCGAACAAATAAAACAATTTGTTTACGTAAATGTATTCAATATGTGGTAATAAAAAGTAATTAGATTATGTATTAACTGCGAACTCACTTTTGATTAAATTTGTCGTCTAAAAGAAAAAAAGCGTGTAAATAAGTCATATTTTAATTTAAGGTAGAAATATAATACAACAGTTTTCCTTAATGCCAAATGATTTAGAAATATGTAATCTATTCGACTCCAAACTTCGTCATTTCACAAACAGATTGTACTGAATACAAAATGAGGAGAATGTTAGTTTTGCTGCTGCTGAATGTTAAAAATTGTACACAGAATTTTATCTTCTAATCGCAGAATTGTCGACTTCCATCGATGCTAGGTGTCCATAAAAATGTCTTGGAAACTGTGATAAAAACCGAAGGCTGTCGGTTTAATCCTCTTCCCTCTCTCTCTCTCTCTCTCTCTCTCTCTCTCGCAATTTTTTGGGAAATGCACAGGCTTTGTTTCTGAAATTCGTCCTTTTCTTCTGAAATATTGTCTCATACTTGAGTTTTTGTTAAAGAGTAAATTATACCCATTACCTACGCAATTATGTTAATAAATCGTTTCTGTCACAGTTCGCGCACAAATTACTCGGCGACTAAATTAAGTTACACTTAACAGCTATGCTCCTCCTTTATACATCATTCCTCATCTTGAAAAGAACCAATGTGAACCCGGTACTATTCGCTTCTTCGACTTTCTTAGGAAGTCTTGCTCCTGCATATGTTTAGGAACTACTTGGCAGCAAATATGATGACACAAGCGATTCGTACAAAAACGGGTATACGTTCTATTTATAATCATCTCTTTTCTTATTTATGATCTAATAATTATTCTAAGCGTGTTTTCCTTCTCCTTCCCTCTATCTTTTAATGAATAATGCTCAAGTTTCTATACAAACATATTGGTTCTTCACGAAAACGACTGTTGCTACAGCTTAAATTAACATGACAATGAATCACACGACGAAACTAAACGCTCTCCCTCTCTTTTCCTCTTTTTTTTCTCTTCTCTTCGTACAATGTCAGATACGAATTCAAGAGCGACAATGAACGAATCAAAAGAGCTGTAATGAGCAGCTTCGAAGAACGTGTCTCTCTCGCGCGGCAACGTATTGAGGAAACAGAGATATAAAAAATATTTTATTTAAATCTTTAAGGACGAAATAAGGAATTGTGAGTAATGAAAGGAAGTATTCTAGGCTACTCCGAAGATAATTTTAACGCTTTCCGTTATTATAGTTGAGAGCCCGTAATGGTGCTTTGAACGTGGACGCAGACTGTTGCTGGATCTGATATGCTACAGGATGAATTTTAAAGCCGTATAATCTGGAAGAATAAAAATGATCTTAACTTTTAAACTTCCTACTCTATACACGTGAAAAATCAAGTTTTGTTTCATCTGAATTACATTTTTCAATTAATATAAAAATTATATTCATTAGCATGAATAAATATTACATGAGTACACGCTGTACTTATTTTATTTGAATAAATTTAATGTAAAAACTTACTGTATATACAGGCAAAAAATAGGAATTAATGGTGAACATCGGTCAACATCTCTATCTTTTATGTAATTTTTTTTTTTTCACGTGAACAATGAACATTTGAAAATGTGTCATTAAAAGATTAAAGATAATAGCAAGAAAAATAGGCAAATTTGATCATTCTAAAGTAAAATTTAGAATTTTTCAATATTTGTATAATTGAGATCCATTTAATTAATCTATTTATGTATTCGAATAATCAATTTATTATATATTATTTTTCTTTAATTTTAACATAAAATGATAATAAATTATAATTTAATGCTTTTAGAATTTCTCTCTCTCTCTCTCTCTCTCTCTCTCTCTCTCTCTCTCTCTCTCTCTCTCTCGCCATGCAATTTAATTAGTCTATTAATTATTTTATTACAGTAAAACCTCGATCTAACAGACCAGTTTGAGTTACGTTAGGGCCAAAAGTCCTTTAACTAAATTTAATGTAGAGGAACACCTTTTACCATTTTTCAAATAAAATTCTAAATTGGCTCCAATTTTTGTGCCACATTTAAATTCCCACGCACATTTTTAGCTTCTTTATCTTTCACTTTAAATTGTGTAAATCACGTTAAAGATTGCAACATTATTTAATATAAATAAAATCACAATTCAGGAATTACGGAAACACTTTGTATACAACCAGACTTTACGATACTGATACTTGAACCAGACTGAGACAAAACCAAAATGAAAGTCTGTCCTATGCTATCCGAAATAAATGCAATATGAAATGCACGTGAGGCGTATTTTTATTTGTCCATTTGTCCACACGTCCAAAATCTGTTAGGTCAGGATCCACGAAATCGAGGTTTCATTGTATTAAAAATACTTATTGCACATTGATATAATCTGATACTTACCTAGGTACAAATTGATTTGCCGCACGTTTTGGTCTATATTCAGGATGGACCATAAACAACATATGTGGGAATCCCGTCCCGAAATACGCCCCGTCAGTGTGATGATGTCTCGAGCTCTTCGGTGTATAAACGTCCATGCATTTAGGACAGTAGCTTTTGACCATTGCCTCACCAGGGACGTCACTGAGTCCTAACGGCAACATCGGCTGGGATTCGCAGTAAACTCGCGGGCAATGACCGAAATCGCCCGCTTGGTATTTCTCGATCATCTGAGCGATGCCACGATTGGTAAGTATGTAACGTGCGTGTATGAGACCATAGAGCATCTCTGCAGCTTGCTCGATCAAGTCTGACTGATTTGGATTGTCGTCCAGATCATCATCTAGCGAATAAAGATTGAATGACGAATGTTACAAGCAGTCACACTTGGCATACGTCCCTCCCCCCCTCTCTCTCTCTCTATTTGGTTACACTTGATAATTCAGTTCAACGACTTACCAGGTTCAAGATCAAGAATCATGTCTAATGCCTGACGATAATGTGGTACTTGTTCATTCAGTCCCGTTAAATTGAATTTATCTTGGATATAGTCCTCATCCACCTATACATGATTTGAAAAAAATAAATAAATAAAGAGATCTCGTGCTATTCTTGAATAAGAAACAAAATATTAAGGTCCTGATACGAGACAGCGCGGTTTCTGCTAAAGTAGGTAACATTTTTTGGTTTCGCCATAAATGTATTGCCCTTGGAGCGAAATCTGTGCAGTGGAAAATTCATTGTTAGATCACGTAAACGTCGCGAACAGAGATTTACAATTGAATTTGGATGCTGAAAACCTGCTATCTCATAATAGGGGACTTTCCTCTATATCGAGGAAAGAAATACACTTTAACACCTTGCCTGTCGTTCGGATAAATTCATGCATTTCGTGGTTCGTCATTGAACGGCCAAACGGATAAATGTTTTCTGTGATTTTTAACTAGTTTTAAGAAACAATATTCAACGAAATTAAAAAAAACGAAAAGGAATCTTTAACGACAACGCGGGTCATAAAAATTGTCCAGCGTCAGGTGTTACTTGCAAAGTATTAGGATTTAAATGTGTATAATTATCACAGTTACGATTTAAATGTAACAAAATAGAAATTCAGTTGTACATTTCAAAGCGCGACACAATTGTGTGTACAAAGTCACTGCCAACATGTATGCATGATGATAAATAGAAAAACAAAGTGGCGTTCCTTGTAGCTGAATGCTACTCCTGCTACTCCTATTCCAATTATAAATGAACAAGTTTGCAGAACAAGCATCTTGCTCTCGCACCAAGTTACAGCCAGTGAGAACAATTAGGCTCTCCAGTGTCGAGAGACACGCATTGCCAAGCATTTAGACACAGTTGGGACAAGACTGGGGGGCGCGCCCATGATCACTCACCTCGCAAAAGAACTCGTTCCCGCGTAAACCGCAGAACCACGAGATCCAGGACACCTCCTCGGAGCTGCTCATTTTTCTGCGACAGAAGAAACGGTGGGGAAAATCCCGTTATTAAGGTGCTAAGGTCGGCAGGCGTAGCAGACGAGGGGAAAGGCGACGAAGGCCGATGAAGAGGTTGCACGTGTAACCGGGTGTCACGCTCTCTTCGCCCACTGGCTCCTACACACGATGCGCGAACGCGTTGCCATTGACGGCGACGGCGACGGAGACTACCGCTGTCCACATCGTGCGGGGAGAATTGGTTAGAGCGGCGCGAACGCGGGATCGACGAGGGAGATGAAGCGAGAGCAACGGACGGACAGACAAACGGTGAACGGGGTAGCGCGGGGGGTGGGCAATGGAGCTCGCTTTACTAGGCAAGATGCCCGACAAGGCCCGTCCGGCGCGTTCACACCTACGTTTCCGCGGTCATTGATGCTTCGTCACCTGTTTTTTGAGCACGATCCGCGCTTTGATTTGGTCAAGATGCGCATTACTCGAGCAAATTGTCTACGCGGAGCACAGCTAACCGACGAAAAACCAAAAATAAACAGCCCTCGCGGCTTACCTTTTGGTGCTTTGATTAGCCACGCTTGCTCAACCGAACGGAGTGTAGCTGGCGCTGTCGGTGCGCGCGCATCACCCCCGCCATCTTCCGGCGCATCGCGAAGTGGGTCAAGGTTCCGTTCACATTGACTGCGTTCGGTCGGACGCAAAAGTCAGCCCTTAATATTCGTTCATACTTGACACCGACTGAACATATTTTTAAATAACTCCTATATGCAATCGTTTGTATTTCGTATGTAGACGTTTGTAGTGCAATTAGAAAGGTTTGTGAATCATTCGTTTGTTTGTAATTAATTAATTATTTTTCCACCGTATACTTAGCGCCAATAGATAAATTAGATAAAGTTTTTATATGGAATCGTTGGTATTTCGTATGAAGACGTTTGTAATGCAATTAAAAAGGTTTATGAGTGATCCAGATAATTTTAATTAAATATTTATTAAATAGAAGTTAGCCGGATTCAAAATTTCATTGATTTCCTATCTATGATACTGAATGATTTAAGACATAAGAATTGCTTGTCACGCCCACTGAAATATACTAACTGGAACGCGCGCTAGAGCCTTAGGCTGGTATTA